ACAACGTTAAGAGCCTACTATGTGCCAGGCATCGTGCTAAGCACTAAGGATCCAAAAAGAGGCCAATACAATACAGTAGGGATACAAAAACAGTCCTTGCCCTCAAGGAGCTCACAATCTACTGGAAAACGTGGGAAATGTTTCTTTGCTTGTATTGTAAATTGATTGGTGAAGATGGTAGCACTGTTTGGAGTAAGAGAAGAAAAATAAATAAAAAATAAAACTTATGAAAACAAGCCCAAAAAGTAATAATCTGGGTTTGAGTCCTTGGATGAGTCCCTTGACCTCTTGGGGCTTCACTTTTCTCATCTATACATGAGGGGGTTGGACCAGATGACCCCTAAGGTCCACTTCCCACTCTGAATTTACAGTTCTGTAACCCAGTTTGGTTCTGCCTAGCATCAAGGTATTACTGAGCCCTATTACCTACCTCAAATGTCTTTGCAATCAAAATGGGCCCTCCAGCAGTCCCCAACATAAGCTTTCTGCTGCCAGAGTTCTCCTTTCCAACCGGGGCCACCCAAATTCGGCTACAGTATTCCCTGATGGTTTTTCTACCATCACAAACTATCAGTGAGCTGATTAGAGTGCCCAGATTGTCTTCCTTTGCTGTGTAGAAACATTGAGTTTTCAGCTACATCCAAGGTCACAGGATCATAGATTTTGAGCTTCAAAGGAATTTGGAGGCCAAAGAGCCCAACCCTCCTTATTTCAAAGATAAGGAAACTTTGAGGCCTCCTATGATTAAATGACTTGACCAAGGTCACACAGAAAATAACTGGCAAGGCCAGGATTCTAAACCCCATCTTCAGACCCCAAACCATTTCTCTTTATTCTCCCGGACTGAACGTGACAACGTAATTTCTTTAACCTACATGTGCTTCTACTCCCATGAGCCTGCTCCCTTGGTCTTCAAAGCATGCCCCACTTTTTTGACTTTCTCCCTCTCTCCCCACCCCCATCTTTTTGGCTTCTGTGACCTATGAAGCAGTTTGGTTTACAGATGCAAACCACCTGTCTCTACCCTGGCTCTAAGTCTGACCTGTGATTCTTGATTTACCCTGAATCAGTACTATGCTCCCTCCTTTGGTATTTCACCCAGGGAATGTCCTTGAGTAATCCTCCCTTTTCGGGTACAGAGCCTAGGAAATTAATTACCTGGGAGGCTTCTGTACTCTGACTTCTTTTTCTTCATTTCTTTCCTCTGCGTAGTATCTCTGGATTTTGAGATATTTCCAGGTGAATTGTCTTTGACCAAGTGATATGTAATGGTTTCTTTGCATTAAATCATTCTGATATGTGTTTTAGTTTCTACCAATATTTCCATTTTGTTTTTCCCTCTTTTTATCACTCCTCCTTCCATCCATCCTTGGTTTCTACTAATCAGTTTATTAAGTGGCAGTACAAAGACAGAAATCAGACAGTGCTCGTACTCTAGGACCTTTCATTCTATTTGGAGAAACATCTAGGTAAATACAACATACACACACAGTCAATATAAGGTAATGAGGCTGGGCTGGGCTGGCCCACTGCAGCTTCAGGGTAGATTCGGGGAATGCGTCCTGTGAAATTCTGGTATTACTTGAGCTGTACTTCAAAGGGAATCAGAGATTCCAACAGGCACAGGGGAGGAGAAAGCATGAAGGGAAGTATAAGGGTATATAAATGTATAAGAAGTATAAGGGGACAGTTTGTGCACATAGGAAGAGATGGGATGTTGTATTTGAGCAACAAGTTGGCCAATTTGTCTGGAATAAAGAGTGAATAACAGGGAGTTAACACGTTATAAGCCTGGAGATGTAAGCCGAAGCCAGATTGTGAAATGTTTTGAGCATCCCCCTTTCATCTTAAAGACAGTATGGAGCTGTTGGAGGTTTTTTTTCAGAGGGCCAGAGACAGAGCTGGGCTTTGATTTAGGAATATCACTCTGGCAGCTATTTGGAGGATGGATCAAAGAGAAGGGAGACTTGGGGCAGGAAGACTAATCATCACTAAGAGGCGATGAGGGCCTCAACGAGGGTATCAAGGGGGGTGACTCTGTGGGGAGGGAAAAGGATTTTGGAAGTAGAAACAATGAGATTTAGCAGCTGATGAGATACATGCAGTGAGGAAGAGGGAAGATTGAGGATGGCTCTGAGGTTGTGAACATGAGTGATAGAAGAATGGCCATGCCCTTAACAGAAATAGTGACATTTGGAAAAGGGGTGAATTTTGGGGAAAAGATAGAAGAATTCTTCTGTGGACATGTTGGGAATGGATGTCCTTGGGATATTTGGTTTGAAAAATACAGTTGGCAGTTAGTAATGCTGGACCGGAATTCAGGAGAGTTCCCTTATATTTTAGGGCTAAATATATGGATCTGAGGGATATCAGCATAAAAATGATCAGTTTGTCCCTGAGAGCTGATGAGATGATTAAGAGAATGTTGAGAGAAAAGAAGAGGGCTCTAAAGGGAGCATTGGGGTATGCCCACTGGTAGAGGGAGGGACATGTGTCATGATGAAAGGAATCCAAGAAGGAGTGGCCAGCCAGGGAGGAAAAGAGCCAAGAGAAAGCAGCTCTCTTCCCTGAAAACCCAGGGAATAGAGACTGTCCAGGAGGAAGTGGTGGCCAGCAGGTAGTGTTACTGGATTTGGCAATTGAGAGACATCAGAGGCTGCCGCTTCTCCATTGCCCTCTTGCCTCTTTACAGATTCTGACAACATTCCTCTGTGCCCCTCTTTCATGTTTGATAAGTTCATGCACTGTGAAACAGTTATAGTATACCTGTAGTAACTTGGGAGTTACCAGAATGATGGAGCATCAGGTGATCAAGACTTGGGAACCTCTCTAAATTTTTCAACGTCGTCTTTTCTGTCTCATACACAAAATTGGGTCTTCTGATAAGTTTGATCACAAATGTTACTGGTGTGCAATTTCTAGCGGTGGGTGAGAAAAGTTTTTTTTTTCAAAAAAAACATTCTTTCATCTCTTTTCTTGGCTACTGGAGAATGCCCTGATTTTATGTTTGTTTTTTAATCAACAAGTATCTGTGAAGCTCTGGAGAAGCTCTGCCATAGAGGATAACTACTCAATTAAGAGATGTCATGATGGTTGAGGAACCTAAAGCATATTGAGAGAGATAGAATGTCCATAATAATCATAATGATGATGATATTTTACTGATTTTGTCCCTAATGAGAATACTGTGGTATAGGAGACAATTGCATTTTATGGATGTGTTCATGAAATAAGCAGAGAATAGCACAAGACACTTTATAGTTGATGCCATGAGAACTCTTCAGAGATGCTTGTCCTTTTCTCACTATTCTTGCCTACCATATTCATGTTCTCTTTTCTTCCCCAAACATATGGGAAGCATGGAGAAAGCCATGGATGGGATGGTGTGGTTGGGTGACTGGACTGAAGACTTAAAAAACTATTGAAGGCTTGGGAAATGGAGGAAATGGGCTTCACACAAGCTTCTGTGAAGAGCTGGCCAAATGTTACCATGGTGGCCATGACCAGTCAAACTGTTGAAGTTGTTCCATCCTCTCCAAAGCTGCTGTTTGGATGTTTTTTGAGAGTAGAAAAGGTTGAGTAACCATTGAGAGAGGCTTATTTGAAAGTAAGTTTCATTTGAAAATAAATTCAAATCTGTTGAGCTTTGGAAACCTGAGCTGTGGTGGGTTATACTGATCAGATGTCCACATTAAGTTTGACATTAATATGGTTAAGTCAGGAGTGGAGGACCACCAGGGTGCTTAAGGAAGGGTAAACCTGTTTATACTTCTAGCCTGGAGAAAGAAGGAAGAGAGGGAGGAAGGAAGGAAAAAGGGAAGAAAGAAGAAAGGAAGGAAGGAAGAAATGAAAGGAAGGAAGATTTTGGAAAATTATTGTGAAGCAATGGCATATTTGATAGATATTACAAAGATGAAATTGACAGGATTTGGCAACAGATTGGGAGACTGGGTGTGGAGAGTGTGTGTGTGTGTGTGTGTGTGTGTGTGTGTGTGTGTGTGTGTGAGAGAGAGAGAGAGAGAGAGAGAGAGAGAGAGAGAGAGAGAGAGAGAAGGAGGGAGAGAGAGGAGAGAAGGAGAGAGAGAAGGAGAGAGAGAAGGAGCCTAGGATGATGCTTAAGTTGTAAGCCTAGGAAGATGGTGGTACCATTGTGAAGTTAGGAAGAGAAGAGGGTTTAGATGGAAATATTATGAGTTTGGTTTTGGACATGTCAAGTTTAAAATCTCTGTGAGATACAGTTTTTGAGAGCTGTCTATAGTACTAAAGGGGTGTGACTTGCCTAGGGTCCCTCAGCTAGGGTATATCAGAAGAAGGGCTTGGCTTGTAAGAACACAGCAGGAAATTTAAATGCCTTATCAAACCACCCAAGTTTCAGTATCATTTTCAGGTCTAAGTTGCAGTGAAGTCCTGGCAGATGCAGACCCAGACCCAGATTGGCTTCAGTTTGGGAGTGGGGGAGGAAACCACGTTCTTCTTTTTTTTACTCTCCATGCACACTTTCAGAACTCTCTGACGGGCACATGTGTAGCAGTCGTCAGCGCTTTGAAAACGAATAGATAACCCATCCCTCCCCTTGGCGGACTGATGCAGCAGTCAGCCCTGAGAAAAGCAAACTGCCTTCATGACTACAGGGAGAGGACAAACTGGACCAGGATGAAAGCTCACTGATTGACTGGAGCCGACTTCTCCTTTTTTTATCTCTGCCAAAGGATCCACATCAGTCCTTGTAACCCAGCCAGCTCCTCTGCCCTCCCCCTATCTGCCCCCCACCCCTGCTTGGTCTGGGTGTTTCCATTTCAGCGTGTTGTGATTCATCTAGCATTAAAAGAAAAACAGAAAGGTGGGAAATGTTGTTCTTTGGACTGCTCAGCACAAAAGGCGTCCTAGGGAACAAAGGCCTCAAACTGAGAATAATTGACGAGCCTTGGAATAATGAGAGGACAGAATGTGTCTAATCAGCAGCGGTACAAACACTCACAAAGGGTTTCCTTTCCTCCTAGCGCTTCCTTTGCTGGGCATCTGGCTGGGATTATCGTCGGACTCATGTACACTCTGGGGCCTCTGAAGAGGATCATGGAAGCATGTGCAGGTACCCAGCAAACATCATTGGCAGGGCAGGACAGGATGCTGAGAGCCTGTTTTAAAGGGGGGCACGAGCAGACCCACGTTTCTCCTTGTGCCGGAGCTTTCCCACCTGCCCAATGGTTTTACAGCTAAAAAGAAATTCTCCACCTCACCCCCCCCCCCCAGCCCAGACCCTGCAGGCACAAAAATAAAAAACAGCTGCTGCTGGTTAATATTCCTTAAGCAGCATGGAAGATGCCAGGTTTCAAGTCTTATGCTTTCAGGTAGAGGGATGAAAATGTAAATTCTCAGCCTTAGAGCTACCTGAGGAACTTCTGAGATGTTCTGGAAAATGGTAGGTACTTGAGGGTCTTTAAAACAGCCCATTTAAAGGGCTGCTCTAAGAATGGGACTGGACTTGGGATTTCATTGGTATGAGGAATTTCCTGTTCAGGTCAGCACCTTTGCTCCAACTTAATCATCTTAAGGAATTACATAAAGATGGAAGGGGAAAACCCAGCATTTATTAAGTGCCTTCTATGTGCCAAGCACTCTGCTATGTGCTTTATAAATGTTATCTTATTTGAGCCTCTTGACAACCCTGGGAGGTAGCTGCTATAATTACCTACATTGTACAGTTGAGGAAACTAGTAAACAGAGGTTAAATGACTTGCTCCTGGTCACCCAGCTAGAAAGTGCCTGAGGTCAGGTTTAAACTGAGATCATCCTGACCCCAGGACCAGTGTGATTCAAAGGCAGAATTCAAGCCGAGGTCTCTCAGATTCAAGATACAAATTGCCCCCTTGCATGTCTGTCCCAAAATGGGATGGAAAGCCAACTCCCTGTTATTTAGGTTTCCTGCAGGACAGAGATTCGCACAGGCTAAGCAAAAAACAAACAAACCTAGAAGTTGTTTTTACCTACAATTATTGTCATTTTTATTTTCAATGAATCCTCCTCCCATTTTGGAAAATATGAACTTTTCTTCTCCCCTTTCCATCTAGAATATATATTAATTGCATTTACAACATTTAAAGAAACTTATGTTAAAAAGTTGGCTTATAGGAAATTTGAAAGGTCTCACATTTCATCTCTGAGAATATTTTACCTTTTCTTGATCCATAAATAACTAGCTTTCACAGGTTTTGTTTATGATTATTTACAAAAAGTATTCATAATGTCAAAACGTTTTCAGACCATCCATTGTGTTTTTTAATGTTGAGTTGATTTCCCTTTGCGTATTTATTTGTTACAGTGTTGAAACAAGCGTATTTGAGGGAAGTCAGGTGAATGTTGTTCAGTGAAAGTGCTGTCCATCTTTGCTTTCTTTGAGAGGAGATGTGGTTATGGAAATCTCTTAACAAGTTTTATTTTCTGAAAGCTCAGTACTTTGACTGCAGAAGAGATCTCGTTCCCAATAGCATATGCTTTGTTTTAATGTGGGTTTTTGTGGCTAAAGCATTTATGTGCAAGGATGATAAATCTAGGTAAGTTTTTTCTTTTCAAATACTCAAGACTTTTAAAAGATTTTTAATGTTTAGGGGTTTTTTGTAAGTTTTCAAATTTTCTCTGTAGTCCAATTTATGTATTCATCCTGGGATTCTAAGTTTAAAAGATGAAAAGAATCACAGAAACCATCTTATCGAACTTCATTTTATAGATTAAGCATCTGAGGCATAGAGAGGTTACACATGTATTAAGTAGCAAAGCTGGGACTCATAAATTACAAAAAAAAAAATTAGGTGTTAGTAATGGAACCAAAAATTCATTTCTCTTCAGTTGATGGGTCTGCAAACACTTTGGAGGAAAGCAGTGGACCAGCTGTCAGAAGATCTAGGTTTGAATCACAGCTCTGCTGTTTAATATGTCTGTGACTATGGATAAGTCACATATCTAGGCCTCAGTTTTCCTGATCTGGCCTTCTCATCTTATTAATAAGGAAACCTGAGATCTGGAAAGATTGATTAAGTGACTTGCCCAAAGTCATGCCAGGAGTGTCACGGGTGGAATATGAACTCACCTCTTTTGCCAAAGCCAGTGGACTTTCCCCTGTACCATTTATTCTTTGTAGAATGGGGGGATTGGAAATGATGATCTTTAAGGGTGTTTCCAGCCCCAAGATATATAGAGCATTTATTAAGCACTCACTGTGTGCTAGGGCACTGTGCATAACTGGGAAAACAAGTATGAGATGAAATAAAAACAGTCCTTACGCTTAAGGAATTTACATTCTAATCCGGGAAGATAACTCAAAAGGGTTGTGTTGGGAAGGTGCCCTTTTGGGGGCAAGGTGGAGCAGTAGTCCAAATGAGTTCAATGAGAGGATGAAATGAGTTGGCAGTTATAAAGCAGTCTTTGTTGTTGTTCAGTCATTTTTCAGACTCCTTGTGACCCCGTTTGGGGTTTTCTTGGCAAAGATACTGGAGTGGTTTGCCATTTCCTTCTCCAGCTCATTTTGCAGATGAGAAAACTGAGGCAAAAAGGAGTTAAGTGACTTGCCCAGAGTCACTTAGCTAGTAAGTACCTGAGGCCAGATTTGAACTCAGGTCTTCCTTACTTTATGCTTAGCATTCTACCCACTGGATAACCTAAATGCCCACTATTCCTCCTCCAACAAGCTAGCAATTTTTTTGGGAGGGGGGAACACATGGAGAAATTTTAAAATGATTATGGCTGCTGAGATGTTATTTTGGTGTCAGCTACAAAAGAAATAGATGATGTGAGAAAAACGAGGACTCTGATCTTGCCCTGCTCATTTCTGTTGATGAAGTTGGCCTCTGGGTGGACTTCCTGGAACAAGTAGTATATGCTTAACTAGAACTGCAATAGCGGAGATGACCCTGCTGCAGATAGAGCCTGTCACCAAAAGGTGATATCTGAACTTTCTCCCTAACGGTCTCGAGTTCCACATCCTTGCCCCCAGTGAAAGTCGAGGTAGAACCAAGCATAGTGACACCAGGTTGTCCTCAGCAGGAGCAATGATTCTCTTCAAGAGGAAGAGCTGGTGACCACAATGGACCTCTTGGAACTACTGGACATTTCTGAAAAGACCATGTGCAGTGTCCTCTCTCAGGATTATAGGTTCTTCTCCGGCAACCTCTTCTCATGCAGTACAGCCTCTTCCTCCAATTGGCGAGTTTCTCCCTGACCTTCCCTTTGAGGAAGCACTCATTCCAGCCTTGCTTATTTCAATCCAGACTAGCCCATGCCTGGACTAATAATCACAACAGCTAACATTCATATAACATTCTAAGGTTTGCAAAGTGCTTTAACTGTTTTTTAAGCATTTATTAAGCACCTAGCACAGTACAAATTTTTTAAAGTACTTATTTAAGCACCTCTAGCATAGTGCAATTTTTTTTTCAGTCAAAGTAGCAAGGTTTTATTTTAACACCAGAATGGCAGACAAGATTCCTAAGTCTTCTGTAGCGCAATTTTTTTTTAAAGCATCTGTTAAGCGCCTCCGGGCTTTACCAGATAGGTGGCGCTGGGCAGCTAGGTGACCCAGTGGGTAGAGTGAGGGTACTTCCTGGGGATGTTGTGAGGATCAAATGAAATAATAATTACAAAATGCTTAGGCATGGTGCCTATGTGGCACACAGTGCGTGCTTTATAGGCGTTAGTATTATTGTTGAGAATGAGAACTGGAATTTTCACCGATGAATATTCTCTCTTCTGTCGGTCTTTCTGTTTTTGTGGACGTCATGAATAGAGTTTGATGTTTAAAAAGAATATGTTTATTCCCTCTTCAGAAACACAGTGAATTTGTACTGTATGTGTATATATGCTGTATATGTAATATATTTTCAAGTAATGCAGTCATGGATCATAGGATAATAAGTCTGGAGATTGGAGGCACCTAAGGAGACCATTGAGTATAACCCATTCGTTTTTGAGTTAAGGAAACTGAGCCCCAGCAGATTAAGAGTTAAATGACATGACCAAGGTCACCTGGTGAGTGTTAAAGGTCGAGATGAACCCACATTCTCCAGCTACACAGTGTTTTTTTTTAAAGCATATATTAAATTGAACAAAGTAGTAAAATACCTCATGCCCCTTTTTATTTTTCTTGTTTCAGGCATATTTTCCTTCAACACCCATTACCCAAGACAACAATATTACTTTAATAATACAGGTAAGTACTTTATGAAAATGGCTTCAACAATATTTTTTAAAATTTATTTTATGTGGGAATTTATCCATGTGGGAATCTTTCTTTACCAAGGAGATCAGTTAGGGTTAAGTGACTTGCCTTCGGTCACTTAGCCAGTAAGTGTGTCAGAGGTTAGACTTGAGCCCAGGTCTTTTTGACTCCAAATCCAGTGTTCTACTCACTACCCCACAATATCTATTATTGCTTATTCCATTTATTAATGTAGCAATTTATTATTTTATTATTCTCAGGGTACTGATTTATTAATGTGTTATTACTAAAACTGGTTATTCCATTTATTATAATTTATTATTATTTGTTGAGAAATAAAATGAAGTTTCCTGCTTTACAGTAGTACTACTAGGAAGTCTCATTGCGGCGTAGAGGTGACCCTGGTTTCTGAAAGGCTCTGCCAGGGAAGCTCAAGTTCTGGCTGATCCTGTTAAGCTGGGGAGGCTGTGAGTACCATCCCCTTATTGATGGACTCTGTGCCCATGGGCTGAGGGTCCCCTTGCCTACGTGCAGAGGAGCTCATCACCAGCTTGGCCATAGGGTATGGCTCTTTTTTGTTTTTTGGCCCCAACAACTCTTGAAGATGCCTAGCAGCTCCCAGCGTTCTAGAGCAGTTCCCAGCACTCTAGAGCGGCTCCCAGCGTTCTAGAGCAGCTCCCCTTGTTGTTGGAGGAGTAGATGTTCAGAGATCTTTGAAGGATTGACGCAAGGAATGGCTACTCCAATTTGCTATTTTTAAATGATGATGATGGTGATGATGATAAAAAGAATATTCTAATGAGGAACTCAGAACTCTTTCAAACACGTGATAAGAATATTCCATTTGTCCCTGAAGGGAAGCTAAAAATAAGGTTATTATTCCTATTTTAAACAAGGAGGTAGACTAGGAACGGGACTTGGTAATAGGAGCGGTGAGTTGGAGTCTTAGGCATGAAAAACTGTATCAGAGAAAGCCACAGGCATGGTGAAGTCCAAGCTGCATCATGGGATATCTCGTTCCTAGCCCAGAGGCCTTTCCATGTAACTCATACTGCTGAGTGTTAGGGACTGTCTTCAATTAAACAAGGCGATGCTAGCACATTTTCTAACTATCGTAACCAAACTGAGAGAGGGCCTCTGAAACGAAGTGATGTTAGATGGATGAACAGAATGTGTTATTTCTTCTCCCTCCTTTCCAGTAAATAGGTGGGGCAGAGCACCTGATTCAAATGCATAGGTCAAGGGCTGTATGTACCACATTCCAGCTACTCCAGGGAGCAGTGGGGTAATGGGAGCATTGCCAGGTGACATGCTAGAGAAGCAGCAGGCTTGGGAAATACTCTGTGTACTTTGCATGCAGGCCAATTTAGAACAGCTATAGAGTTCAAAATATAGAGGTGTGGGCTTATTTTAAAGAGTGTATCCAAAGGATTCACTCTTTAAAATAAGCCTATATTTTGATCTGCAGACCCAAATATGCTGCCTTTTCTTTATTTGATCATAAAGTATTAAAGATCTTTTTTTAATCCATCAGTCAATTATACCTATCAAGGGACCATTGAAGAGACAAAATTAGGAATATGACGCACATCCTCAAGAAATTTATAATTTAATTGGTGACACAGGACCAACACACCACAGAGAAACACAATCCTAGGCAAATAACATGATGCTTTTGCCTAATGGACTGTAGAATAATGGAAATTGATTTACTCTAGGTATAGTTAGTGAGGAATAGGTGATAAAGAAAGCAGTGTGGGTGGGATGTGTATAGCATGTGTGGAAGGAAGCATGGTTTTCCCATGTTTTGAAAATTGAGGATATTTAACCTGAAGAAGAGAAGCCATTATAACTGTCTTCAAGTATTTTTGAAAGGTAGCCACTTGAAAAAAAAAAAAGATGTAATAGGTTGTGTTCCACTTGGCCCCAGGTGGCAGAATGAGAAGCTATGGGTAGAAATGCCAAAGAAGCTTTTAAAAGCTTTTTTTCTTTACAGTTAATAATTTATTTTCTTTCCTCTCCATCCAGGTGTTCCCCCTCCCTCAGGGTGATAGGTTGCTTCTTTGGTAACTAAATACAATTAACTTAACCTGGCAGAATTGAGAAAATAATAATATTCTTTAAATAGTCAAGTCACAAGCTATCCTACTCCCACATAAAAAAATCCATAGTCGAGCATAATAAATTCCTGCACTGGCCATATCTAAAAACACATGTCTCATTCTGTGTCTTGAATCCATCACTATTCTGTCAGGAGGTAGGTAGTGTGATTTATCATTAGTCCTCTGAAATCGTGTTTGATCATTGCCTTGATCAAAGTTCTTAAGTCTTTCAAAGTTGTTTACTTTTACAAGTAGTATACATTTTCTCCTGGGCCTGTTCACTTCACTCTGCCTCAGTTTATACAATGCATCTTCCCAGATTTCTCTGAAGCTGCCTCTTATGTCATTTCCAGTGGCACAGTGGACCATAATTTGTTTAACCATTCTCCAACCAATGACATGATGGAGGGAACGATTATAATTATTAATTGTTCTCTCGTATGATTAACCTAGTCATCATAAGCAAATAAAAATATTTCAGCATATCAAGAAGAACAAAGTGGAGGAGAATGTAAAAGCATGAACAATGAGTGCAGTCCCAAAGTGGAACAGGATGCTTTGCAAGGTGAAGCACTCTCCCCTCTTGAAGCAATGGGTGGATGACCACTCACTGGGCATGTGGTAAAGGGGGTCTCCAGTTCAGATGGTGTAGAGTAGATTACTGTTGAGTCTCCTTCAACTCTGGTGACCCATGAACCGTGGTAATTGTCTAGTTTGCCTATTGAATTTTTTTTATTGTTTTTAAAGCCCTGCTAATAGGGTTGTTTCAGTCTCTATGAAAAGACTAGTGCATGACCACTAGCCACCTTCACACTGATGATGTTAAAGACCATCTATTGGCTGGCTTGCTGCAGCTATTGATAGTGGCTTAGCTTTTTATAAAATATACTAATGCTCGCTATTTATTAAACCAAGAGTATGGGGCATTTTTTGGCAGTGGATGGGACAGAATATTTTATAAAACTGACAATAACAAAAGCTTTTTTTTATTTTAACACTGTTCTGTCAGTGTTAAATCAGACCCAGTGAGTGTGTTCACAGCTTATTTCTGGTTGTGACAGTCAGGGTGACGGTAGGCTTGCTTCCTTGTGTTTTCATTACCTCTGGTAACTAGGCACCATTAACTCAACCTAGCAGAATTAAGAAAAGAATAATTCTTTAAATAGTCAATTCACAAGATATCCCAATTGGTAATTGGAAAAGGGAAAAATGAGATTGGTTCTCAGCATTATAACTTTGAGAAAATAATAATATAGCCTACAAGCTCTATTTGCCAGACAGCAAAAGATGCAAGAGAGAGAGCCATGGGGAGGGGTCGGGAATGGAAAGATAAATCTGGGATTCATCAATGTGAGGGTTATAATCAAGGGCATGGGAATGGATGAGATCATCCAGGATGTAGATGGGGAGAATCATCCTTGAAAATATGTAGCAGCCCTAACCTCCCTTGGCACAGTACACGGATCCTTCACTAACATTATAGTCAAAACGTTCTTGATTTCAAAAATTCAATTTCAAACCCAAACTTTTTCTGTGGCTATGTCCCATATTCAATTCAAGAAACATATTATTAAGTACCTATTATGTGGAAGGAACTGTGTGAGGCACTGGGAGTTACAAAGATAAAAATTGTGTAGACCCTACCTTTAATGTGTTCATCTTCTATTGAGGAGAATGTCACACACAAAAATAAAATACAGCTTGGGGAATGAAGGGGACAAAGGTCTATAGAAATATTTGAAGAATGAGAGAATACTCTTAGTCTGGAGAACTGGGGAAAGTGTCGCTTGGAAGAAGCCTTGAGCTAAGCTTTTGAAGGAAGAGAGATATTCTGAAAGATAAAGATGAGAAGAGCATGTGTATTGCAGGTGGGGGGAGGGGGGGAATGACTGCAGTGAATGTATAGAAGGCAGAGGTGAGATGTTGGATTTGGGGGAGCACCTAATAGTCACATTTGGCTGTAATGTAATATAGGGGAAGGGTAGTCGTATGAAATAAAGTACTGTAGGTATCCTGGATTCAGAAATAGAAGGAGCCTTAGGAATCGTCTAGCCAGATTTTAGAGCACTTAGGACAGTGCCTGGCATGTAGCAGGCCCTTAATCAATATTGGTAAATTGATTGATTGGAGGACCTTTATTGAGTTTATATCTTAAAACTAGAAGTAATAGAGAGCTATGGAAGATTTTATTTTTGTTTTGTTTTGTTTTTAATGAGAGGATTGGCACAGTCAGATCTGGTGCCTAGGGAGATTACTTGGGAAGTAAGGTAAAGAATGGATTGGAGATGGGAGATACTTAGGAGAACAGTTTAGAAGCTAACACTAAGAGTTCAGTCAGGAGGAGATGAAGCTCCCTACAGGTCTGGCAACAGTATGGATGGAGAAAAGGGACGTGACGGAGCTAGATTTGATGGGTTGGCAGCCAGTACATACAGGGGTGGGAGGAAATGAGAAGATGAGAGGATCACAGAATCAGATCTGGAAGGGACCTGGAGGCTACTTGAGTCTAACATCCACCTCTTCCCCCTTCATTTTATAGATAAAGAAACTGAGGCACAGAGACATTAAGAGGCCTAGGGTCACACTAAGACCTTGCTTACACCAAGTCCAGCACTGTGTCTACTTTTCCATGCTGCCTCTAAAAATTCAAGATGATGCCCTTTCAGATCTGGATGACTGGGAGGAAGGTCATGCCCTGAATAGAAATAGGGAAATTTGCAGGAGAGGCCAGTTTTGATGGGAAGGTGATGAGTTCCAATTCAGAAGGGATGGGTTTGAGGTGACACACCCATGCCCAGCAGGCAATTGGAAATTCAGGACTATATTTCAGGAGAAAAATTAGGGCTAATGTAGAGATATGGGCGTGTTTAGCCATTGAGACTGTTCAAG